GACCTATTTTCTATTACAAATTACCGTAGCTGTGTGATCCTGAGTAAGTCACTTAGCTAACTGGTTCTCAAACTTCTGAGGCTTTACCTAGGGTCCTGACATGAAGTTTCCAAATTTGATATTTTGTCAAATACATATATGTTAAAAATTCATTTTGCAACAGTAGGAAGGAAATTATCTCAAAATAAAAAAACAAGTGGGGAAAAAACAGCTTTATAAGATATTCACTACATTGTCTTAGTATTTTTTTTTTTTTTTAGAGAGAGAGATCTAATTTGTTGTTCCACTTATTTATGCATTCATTTGTTGAGTCTTGCATGTGCCCTGACCAGGAATCAAACCTGCAAACGTGGCCTATCAGGATGACACTCCAACCAAATGAACTACCTGGTCAGGGCCTCCTTGCTTTTCTCATTTTACTTTAGATCTATGAAAACTTCAACAGGGACTAAGCAAACATATATTGGAGAAACAGCATTTGTAACCAAAACCTTTGCCTATTTCTTAATCTGAGGAAGCAAAATAGGATTCCGTACTGAATTCAAATCCTAGTTTTACCACTAGTAGCTGTGTAACAGTTTAAGTTTTTTTTTTTTTTAATTCATCACTTCTCTGAGCCTACATTTATTTGTCTATAAAAATGTAGATATATACCTACCTCAAAGGGATGTTGAAACGATTAAATAAAATAACGAAAGTATCTAGTACGGTACAGGCATTTAATAAGCATTCAATAAATGGAAGCAGTTACCTAAAAATGAGATGAGATAGAATTATCACCAAGATTCTATGACTTTATAGACAAGCAACAGGAGAGGGAAATTGTAAATAAATAAGGTCCAAAAAGACAGATATATTGAAATAGTTCACTTATAGTGGGTTAAAAAAAAGAAAAGAAACTCATTTCTTATGACTTTGGATTCTGTAGGAAGGTAAAATTGGACACACACAAAAAATTGGTAGACTCATTTCTTTGCACTTGCCAACTCAATACTTACACTTTTAAAAAATGTTTTGCTTTCTTTAAAGCAACATATTTTATTTATCTTATCTTCATCACTGAATCAGAAGGCTAGAATTGATTTTTAGAGGGCATCTAATACATCATCACTCTACTACCAGATAGACTCAGAAAGGAATGTCTTTAAACTCATCCCCAATAATTCATTAATACGTTCTGTATCACTTTGTTTACATAAAAAAATCTAAATCCTTCTCAAATTTACCATTTAAAAATCTCATATGAATAGTATGTTATCTTTTGTGTAACAGTGGGAAAAATAAAAATACTTATTTATATTTCCTTAAAGAAATTCTCAAAGAATACACAAGATACTTGGGAGCAGGGGTAAGATCAAGACTTTGAACTGTATTTGTCTTTATTTTACTTTGACTTATGAACTATATGAATGTAATCATTTATCAAAATGTACTAAATAACTACCAAAAACACCCCCAAAAACACATCTGTAAACTTCAAGTTTCACAATAGGTTTTCCTCCACCCATACCAAGTGTTTTGACCCACCATTTATGTAACCATACTCATTAACACATCATTTTATATGTAAAGTCTTTAGGCTTTACAGAATGAAACTTGTGTAAGGTTGATACTCATGCTATAAAAAGTCATTACAGTTAATAACATGCAACTTTTCCTTTAATAAATATCTCCAATATTTCAAATATTTGCTCTCTAGAATACAAAGTTCTATTTCCTATATCTCGCTTCTGATAATAACTTGTGGAATAAAGCCCTTCTCCCTTGGACAAAGTCCCCATAAAGGTTTTTTAGAAATTCACTTTCTTGACAATAAATAAAAATTTCAAAGATATAGTACTGCCTGTTTGGAATGACTCAATTGGTTGAGCATCGTCCTGTGCACTGAAAGGGTGGCCAGTTTGATTCCTGATTGGGGCACACTGATGTTTCTATTTCTTTCTCTCTCTCCCTTCCTCTCTGAAAATCAACAAAAATATAAACAAACATCTATGAAAATTAAGATTTTGGTTTTATTCATCAAATGCCAGTTCAGTGAGTGCTTCTTGGAGATCATTATCTATGGTCTGGAAATTCAAAGGCAATATTATGGGAGAAGACAGCTCATTCTGTCAGGCAGAAAAAAGGCAAGAAATTTGCTTGGGCAAATTTCACTCACAAAGGCATAGACTGTACCTTCCCACATGTACTATACAGCAGATATTAGATACTCCTCAAATTTTTTTCTTTATGTGATATAGGAGAAACAGGACATAACAAAATTTCCTTTCTCCACAGGTTAAGAAAGAATCTATATAGACACTGGGCATCATCTTAGATCAGTCTCTGAGTATCCTAGAAATCTCCACTCAAAAATGAGGTCTATGTATACTTAATACCTAAAACCTTTTTAAGCACAGAAAACTGAAGTAAATAGGAGAGTAAGTGAGGGGTTCTTCTACCATTAGCCTAATTGGGTATAAGAATTGTAAATAAATAATTTCTATAATAAACATCAAAACAAGACAAAAGGTACCCAGCCAGTGTGGCTCAGTGGTTGAGAAGCAACCTATGAACCAGGAGGATAGTTCGATTCCCAGTCACAGCACATGCCAGGGTTGTAGACTCAATCCCCAGTGAAGGGAGTGCAGCTGACCAATGATTCTCTCTCATCATTTTTTCTATCTCTCTCTCCCTCTCCCTTCCTCTTTCTGAAGTCAATAAAAAACATATTTAAAAAAATAACAATTTCACCTCAGGAAATCTGCGGGGATAAGGTTGCATAAAGCAATACCCATAATATAGCTCATTCAAAAAGAATGAATAATAGAATTCTTTCTGAAACAATTGGTGCTGATCTCTGTTTGTGCTCAACATTGAAATTCGGTACACACACACACACACACACACACACAAGGTGTGGATTCTGCTCATAGCTTTAACCACCTGGTATGCAGACTCTAAGTGAAATTCTGTGTTTGTGTGTCTACCTCTGAAATTTAAGAATAGCACTTATTGTGTAAAAACTAATGAGTGACCATTTATCTCACCTGTGATAATTAAAAATAGTCCAGAAAATCAAGGATATCATCTTTCTGTCACTCTTAGACCAAAGCAGACCTTTTCAGTCTCTTTTAAAGTTTCAAAGAAAAATAAGTCAAAAGATGTTCCCATTTTATTTTATAGATAAAAAGTATATGTGTTCTAGGCTCATCTCTCATCAAGTTTCATCAAAGATACAGACATTCAAGGGACTAACTCCCTTACAACCCACACAGTGGTTCTTCCAAAGCAAAATGTTGGGGTCAGAATGTATGAAGGTTTTAAATCTAAAGGAATCCCTGTTTAGATCTAGAATGTAAAGTAGTGAACTAACTGTATTCGGCAACCCACAAATACAGTTTTCCTATTCCTCTCAAATACAACAGCCACAACACTGGTACACAGAGAAATCCCTGTACTTTAGCACCAAGATCAGAGGTTAAAATAATTGGTCATAAGGGATGAACTAGGCATCCTAGAACCCAAATAGAGTACTCTGAGCACTTAGAACAGTCACCATGGTACAATACTAGAGCCAAGCCATAATCAAGGGGGAAAGTACACATATAAAATATCTCCTTTCCCCCCTAGAGCCCAAAAATTGATGCCTATCACCCTAGGTTGTTCAGACCTTAAAAAGGCCCGGGACACACGTAAGAGTTAAAAGAAGTACCTGATTACTAATTTCCCTCACTTCAAAGGATGTCCATAGGATGCCTCACTTTCTCCACGCCTAAAAATCTCGAGTTCAGCTACCCTGCTACTCTGCAGTTTTGTACGGGAACTTCCTTTTCCTAATTTCACTAAAGGTCCCAAGGTGTAAGACTCACGTGATGGTTCAGGGTCAAGTCAGGAAGCTCCTTAAACACTCACCTGCCTCAAACTAAATAAGGGAACCAATAACCCGACTTCGATACACAGGTAAAAGCCTGAGGCAAATAAATGTCCAATCCCTCAACTTTAGGGAGAGGCTATGTAGCAGAAATGCTCTGTGAGCCGGCTAGCTCTGCCTCCGATCTCTGCCCCAGTCTCTCTGTCTCGCTCTCAGTACCAAGGGCAGAGACTCTGGCAAGACCCCGCCCCCCCCCCACCCCCCCAACTCCAAAGCGGGGTAGGCGGGAGGTAAGCCTGGCCCGGCGAGTCCCCGGTTCCCGCGCGAAGCTCGGAGTCCACAGGGCTCCCCATTGTGGGTCTACGGAGGCGACGGGAACCGGTCCGGCTCGAACCGCGGGCTGAAGAGTAAGCTGAGGGAGCAACTAGGCCCGCGCCGATGCCACTGCCGCCCCGGAGCCGATCGCTGTCAGAGGACTCCGCCCGGGCAGCGGGAGGGTGGCCCCAGCCCTGTACCAGCCCCAGAGCTTCCATGCCCCATGTTGTGTGAGAAGTGGGGGGTCCTGGAACCGTACCTCTGACACTTCGTCCTCGTCGCTGCCAGAGGCACCACCTCCACCCCCGGTCCTCAGCACGGCAGCCGCCAACTTGAAATCCAGCGCCGCGTCCCCTACGCCCGCGCCGCCGCCGCCGCTGCCGCCGCTGCCGCCGCCGCCACCGACTCCCGGGGCAGGCCCAGCCTCCCCAAAGAGTCTTACGGTGCGGATCCCCAGCCCGACCCCTCCCGGCGGAGGCGGCTCCGAGGCCCCGGCTGGGGCGGATCGCGGAGCCACAGAGTCCAAGTCCTCCTCAAAGGAGGTGCCGCCGCCTCCGCCGTCGGTCAGCATGCTTCGCACGCGGAGCCGGATTCACTGCAAAGTCACTCGCGGCCGCCGCCGCCGCCGCGGATCCCGAGAACGAGAGAAGCAGCAGAAGGAAGAAGCGTCTCCTTCCCCCCGTCCCAGTAGCGCCACTAACTTCTCACCGCCTAACCTGCTGCCTCCCGCCCCCCACACTCGCCACTGGCCACAGCGCCAAAGAGGCTGCAGCTCATTGGCCAAAGCCACCTGTCGCTCAGGCTCTTCGTCACGCGCCGCTCGCTGGCTCGGGGCCCCCAAGCTGCGTTGACCCGCGCAGGCCTAGGCGGTTGCGAACTCCCGCCTTCTAGTCCCCGCGCGCTGACTTCCGGTCTTTTTCTACGTCGATTGGTCAAATCCTCTGGCTATCGCGTCACGACCTTAAAGTGGATTAGTTGGCCTTGTGGTCAGTCATAGTGACCCCTGACAGCGGGAGACTTCATTGGCGTTGTCAAGTGTCGGTCACTGTGTCACAGGACGTCGCGTGGTACCATTGGTCTGTAAGGGCACTATTCACCCCGCCCCCATCTGAGGTGACGGGAAAGGGTTGGGGAATTTCCACTTTTGATAAAAATGAAGGCTGAGGTGACGACTTGCAAGAATTGGTGAGATCTGGGGTAGAATTCGCCATGCGCTCAGGAAGCTCCTACGTCAGGTGAGTGAGAGGCGCGGAGAGAACGCAGCTCCCACCTGTCGCTCTGCGCCAGGAGCGGAGACCACGGCCGGAGGTTCGCTGCACCGGGATTGGAGGGAAGAGTAGTCAGTCTCAGCGAGGCCCCACCTTCCCGCCGGGCCCTGGTTGGAGGAGCAGAGCGTCAGTCACTAGAGCGGTAGCTCTGCTGGGACAGGTGAGGCTGCCTCCTCCAAACTCTGCCTCCGGCTCTCCGGGGCCGGAGTAGGGAAGTTGTGAGAGGTGAGGGTCAGGGCCGGTCCTCCCGCGCCTCCGGCCTCTCGGAACGGTGCCCGCCGCGAGGACTTGAGGAGTGTGTGGAGGCTGCTTGGGATGGCCGCCTGGAGACGATTCGGCCCCCGCGCGTGCCCGGGACGTGGCAGTTCTACAACCTGCGGGCGGGATCGCCCCCCGGGGCCGCGTCCTCCCGCTGCGTGGAAGGCAGCGGGCCTGAGGGCTGGACAGCGCCAAGCCTCAGGACTGGGAACTGTCCCGCGGACCGAGGGGAAAGGCACCATGTGAGCGCGGGGCCGAACGCAGGGCTTCACACAGAGCGCGGGTTCTAGAACAGTTCCGAGTTCTGGGGCCGCCGCTCGTTTGCGTGTGACCTCCGGGCGTTCGTTGTTTCATCTCGGTGACTTAGAGTTCGTTCATCAGTAAAATGCAGGTCATGTTCATACCTCCCTCACTGGGTGTTGTGAAGACAATTGGATAATAACATGAGGCGCTTAGCAAAGTGTCAAACTTACAATAAAAACTCATTTATTTTTATTTTTTTTGTTAGCTACTCTTCGGTTCTCCACCTATCCCTGAGTCCTGCGGATCAAACTGATTCTTGTCAGATCTCTGTGGTGCAATAGAAGGCTAGCTGAGGAAGGGGTCTTGTCCCTTCTAAGGAACGCTGCCTCTCTATTTTTTTTTTTTTTAATCTCCTTTGCAGATAAAGAGGGGTTTAAAAAGGCTCATGCTCCATCGAATCCTATGATCAAAGATCACAAGAAAGACCCTTGGTGAAATTTGTATTTGTATGGCAAACGTCCTTTGACCCGGAGAATGGTCCGTATGATACTTAGCCAACGGAGACGGGCTAAAAGCAAAGGATTTGGCATTGTCACCTCTTTTGCAACTTTAACAAAGGACTTTGTATTGATTGTGCAATATTTAATATTTCACTCCCCTTGAACTGGAATCTGAAAATTCTGTAAAGAATATAATGGTGTTTTGGTGTGTTTTTTTTAACGACTTTAAAAAGGATTCTGCCTAACCTTTATTTAAAGAACATTTTGAAGATGGTAAAAATTTCTTTGGTTTGGTAATTGCTCATTTGGCATTTTACATGCAAAAAAAAAAAAAAGGACTTTTCTATGAGCAGAGCATGTTAGGTAAATGTTCTCTCTAGTTAATGAGTTGTAAAAAATGGGAAAAGAGTCTTGTACCTTTTCTGGAAAACTATTTTGATGTAAATGCCAAGTACACACTAGCTGTAGTTAGAATTTGTGGTACTTAATTAGCCTATATCGTCAGTGCTGTTTAAGTTTTTAAGGCCATGTGTAGTCACAACCCAAACTAATAACACCAACAAAAGAAACCCAGCACTGCCCATCCCACTTCAAAGCTGGATTATCCAGAATTGGTATGGATACAGCCTTAGGCAAAAACAGGTATTGACTGGTGCAACATTACAAAGGAACTATTTGTCATTCCTACCACTAATACAAAAATAATTTCTGATGCAAGTCCCTGAACAAATAAATTAAATTCTTTAAATAAATGTAATGAAACAAGGGAGAGGAAATTTAGGTATATATATTTTTTCCAGTATGAGACAAAAATATTCTCTCAGTATATTAAAAAATACTCTTCAACTCAATATCTAGCACCCAACCCTGATGATAGTCTGGAAAACATGATTGAGCAATAATCTTTTTTTTTTTAATATATTTTATTGATTTTTTTACAGAGAGAAAGAGAGAGGGATAGAGTTAGAAACATCCATGAGAGAGAATCATGGATCAGCTGCCTCCTGCACACGCCCTCCTGGGGATGTGCCCGCAACCAAAGTACGTGCCCTTGACCGGAATCAAACCTGGGACCTTTCAGTCCGAAGGCTGACGCTCTATCCACTGAGCCAAACCGGTTTTGGCTTGAGCAATAATCTTATTTTCTCCTGGATCTTTACCTAAAACTTTGTCAGTAGTTTGACAGTAAGTATGGATGTTAGGAATTGCTAATCTCCTAGATTTAGTGACTGCTATATAAGGTTTGTATTTAAAATGATTTAATATTTCCTTATATATCACATTTATGTGGTTCTACAGATGTGAAAAATAACTGGTGAATATAAAAAATTGCACTCCATGTATTGAATGTAAAATATCAATAAGTATTAGTGTGATTCGGTACGTAATCTTAGTTTTGATGTGTTAAGATGATATTTCCTTAAAAAAAAAAAAGTAATACACTGATTTTTCAAATGTTTAATAAGTTGTAGAAAGAAAAATCCTGCCAAAACTGGTTTGGCTTAGTGGATAGAGTGTCGGCCTGCGGACTGAAAGGTCCCAGGTTCGATTCCGGTCAAGGGCATGTACCTTGGTTGCGGGCACATCTCCAGTAGGGGGTGTGCAGGAGGCAGCTGATCGATGTTTCTCTCTCATCGATGTTTCTGACTCTCTGTCCCTCTCCCTTCCTCTCTGTAAAAAATCAATAAAATATATTTTAAAAAAGAAAAAAAAGAAAAATCCTTCTTAAGAAAGTATTTTTGTTAGAAAAGAGCATTAGAATAACTGTTTTCCTTTAGAAAATGAGTAAGAATATTTATTAAGGTAGAACTGTAATTTGTCTCAGAATACTCTCTTCCACCCTGGTGGGTTTGGCTCATTTGGTTGGGCGTGGTCCCATGCACAGAAAGGTTGGCAGTTCAATTCCCAGCCCAAGTTCTGAGTTAGGACCCCAGTTAGGAGGCAATCCATCAATGTTTCTCTCTCTCCATCAATGTTTCTCTCTCTGTATTTCTCCCTCTCCCTTCCTTCCCTTAAAATCAATTAAAATGTATTTTAAAAGTTGAATTCCTGAAAGCATTAAAACACACACACACACACAACACTTTTCTAAACATCTTTCCCATAGGAAGGAAAAGGAAAAGGGAAACATTATATAAACCAAGAATTTTTAAAACTTCTGAGGTAATAAAAGACTAAATTCCTCATAAGAAATATGAGATTGACAAACTAAATTATACAGACAGGGACTTTAGCTACAGATAGGTCTCTCATTTCAATTTGCATTTCCTCAAGATACTTAATTTCTGCATGTCAGTCCATCTCAGTTCAGTCTGTTTACATAAAGAATGGAGGTTAAGTAAACCAACAAATTTGTTGTACTTGGATATTATGTCACTTAATCTTTATAATAACCCTACCAAGATTTCACCCATTTTATAAATGAGAAAATTTAAACTCCAAAAAGGTTAAATAACTTACCCAAGCTTATAAATCCATTGTATGGAATAGCTAGGATTGAATTTAGTTTTGCCTCACCTCAAAACACATGCTCTTCCCACTTCTCACATTGATTTCATGTTACCATCCATGGCAAAGGAACTTTGTCAATCAAGTAATCAGATTTAATACTCTAAACATTATAGCCTTCTTATAAACACGCTAATTAACAGTGTAGTTGGAGTTAACCCTAACTATTACCACATTTGCTATCTTTCTCCTTTTTTAACATTTGGATACATTTAACTTATCTTCTCATTTACCCAACTATATTGTGTTTTTTACACCATGTAATTTCATATTTAAAAATCTAAATAGTTGCCCTAGCCAGTTTGGCTCAATAGATAGAGCGTCGGCCTGCAAGCTAAAGGGTCCCAAGTTCAATTTCAACCAAAGGCACATATTTGGGTTGCAGGCTCAATCCCCAGTGTGGGTGTGCAGGAAGAAGCCAATCAATGATTCTCTCTCATTGTTGATGTTTCTATCTCTCTCTCCCTCTCCCTTCCTCTCTGAAATCAATAAAAAATATATAAAAATTTAGCAAAATATAAAGTTAATGTTTTCACATGGTTCAAATTTTAAGAATTTAAAGAATATGATAAAGGAATCTTTTACATTGCCCACTAAATACGCAGATTCCCTTTCATAAGAAAACTATATTATTATGGCCGAGACTGGTTTGGCTCAGTGGATAGAGCGTCGGCCTGCAGACTGAAGGGTCCCTGGTTTGATTCTGGTCGGAGGCATGTACCTTGGTTGTGGGCACATCCCCAGTAGGGGGTGTGCAAGAGGCAGCTGATCGATGTTTCTCTCTCATCAATGTTTCTAACTCTCTATTCCTCTCTCTTCCTCTCTGTAAAAAAAAACACAATAAAATATATATTTTAAAAACTATATTATTATGCTATTAAATATCATTCTAGAGATTTAATACATATATAAGCAATTCTGTACATGTTAATTTACTTTTTTCCTTTTTAGCACAGGCAACAGCATACTATACACACTTTTGTATCTTGCTTTTTGTCACCTAATTTATTCTAGAGGTATTCCATATTAGTATTTAGAGAACTCTGTCATTCTTATTTTCTGCTTCATATTATTCTGTTGACTGATTATGCCATTTATTTGTCCAGTTCTGTAATAATGGACATTTAGATTGTTTCTCTTTTTTGGGGGGGTGGTATAATAAACAATGCTACAGATATCTAACTTTCTAACTTACTCTCTAACCTCCAGGAAGCACTTGTGGTAATTAACGGCTTTTCTCTTTCTGCTTTTAAGATTCTGTCTGTCTTTAACCTTTTGCATTGTAATTATGATGTGTTTTGGTGTGGGCCTTTGGGTTCATCTTGTTTGGGACTCTGCCTGGACTTGTATGTCTATTTCCTTTATCAAGTTAGGGAAATTTTTCTATCATTATTTTTGCAAATAGGTCTTTAATTGCTTGCTTTTGCTCTTCTCCTTCTGGTACCCTTATGATGTGAA